AATCCTCAAAGATAAAACAAAATGAACAGTCTGAGTTTTAAAGGTTTTCACGCTTAGTTAGATTGCAATTTTACCTACTGTAATAAAAATCAAACACAGCTAGCACTTGTACAGTATATAAAGTTTCGTGTTCAAAAACAAAACAGAAAAAAACAGGGATGATGAAAAATATAACCTGGCATAACTTCTAAAATTCGAACTAATCATGACGGTGTCAGAGCGATTGCGATCATGCTGAAGTCTATCACGGCTAGTTCACCATGGCGATCTTTGGTCATCGCAGTGGAGCAAGCCTCAGGAACTAAATCGACTACCCTTCGAGTGGAAAAATAAAAGCTTGCTCTGATAACCTTTCCGATGCGTTGAGAGGAAGGCCACATCAGTCACTGCAGCCGAGTTTTACGGCGCTGTCATTCCGAACGATCTTCATTTCCTGGTGAATTCGGCTGTCGTTCATTCATAAAACACTCGCCTTGAAGAGTTTGTTTTCTACTTGGCATGTGAAATAACTTGCGTATTTTTGTGAGCCACGATTGGGCCGAATGCTACTGAACATTTCACTTTCAGATTCTGTATTAGAAACTAAAAAAACTTAAGGTAAAAGTGTTAAATTCGACATGCCGAACTATTTTGGTCTGTAAACTATTGCAGAATATGAACTTTGATGAGTTTTGAACTTTGATGGTTTGACACTTTTGACAGTTTTAGTCTTGTATAGCCAATCAGATTATTTGAACCATTCTACCAGGGATTCTGATTGGCTTACTGTAGCGTCCTTTATGAGAGTATAGAGCATGCTGACGACACTGTTGTTTGCTTTGAAAATAAAGTCTGTTTTGAAAATCGAAAGTTATGCTTGGGGAATTTAACGGATTCTTTATTATAAAACATATAGAGAAGTCTTGACTGTGTTCTGTTCTGTTTTACTATGTCTCGTGTTTCTCACTACACTTCTTTCGTGCCTTTTTCCGCTTCCTGCGTGCTATACAACAGAACAGAGCACAGTCAAGGCCTCTCTATTTGTTAAAAGTTTCGCCGGTTAGGGTTTCGTCAGTACAAAGTTATGCAAACTGATGTGTACATATCGAATCTATCTAGATCTTCATGTTGAGGGGGCATTTTCGGGATTTAAATCCGTATTCATCGTCGGTTTCGGTGTCGACATCGGCGTCGTGTATTGGTTGGTTTCTTTTATGTATTTATGATCTGTCAAATAATTTTGCTAGCGCGCGATTGGTCTAAACGCAGCACGTGACGGAATATCCCCCAGCTAAAACAAGGTGATATTCGATCATTTCAACCAAGTGACATTCCCCAATTTTCGAACCTTACGTCGTCGTTAAAAATTTGAATCAAGTTAAGAGAGCGTTTTGTGGTTATTACAGAGGAAGATATTTTTGTTATAAAGTTTTCACCAGAGAACACTCAAAAGAAAACATCCCATACTTCATACAGTAAGCTATTCGTAAACATTTTTCACGCGCGTTGCAAAATTTTTTTAAGGATAATTAACACAAAAGATTGTATTTTGCGCAAAAATATGCTTGTACATTTGTCCTTGGACGTTATCTGTTCCTCGAAGCTCACAAAATTCACTGTTCGCATCTTGGAATAGACAATTTTTCGTGGAAAACTATCCGTACATATTTTTCGCGCCAAATCGAGGCTATTGTTTCTATGTACAGGGTTAGGCGCCGCTACAACCATGGTAAAACAAATACAGATATCAATGCAAGCCAATGAAGATTCAAGGTTAATTAAGATACGAGTACAATTCGAGAAAACAAGACGCAATTTTTTGTAGTTTTGTAGCCAGATGGTTGAGAGAGTAATATGAGTATGAAAAGCTCGAAGGGCTAATGAGGAGTGGTGCAACCAACTCACAGAAATTAAGGATCACGTAGGTCACTTGGTATAGCAAAACAGCCCCAGGTTAAGTGTGCAGGTAAAATCGGTTAAGGTAAAGTTATAAGACTAACCTGAAACGTTTTGAGTAAGGTATTACTTTTACAGCTTGCCAGGGTTTTTGGAGTCACTTTCTGATTAATATCATCGAAATCTCCTTTATTCAAAGCATCGTCGAGTTCCTTCTCAATTTCTGTAAAACAATATTTACGTAAGCATGATTCACAAGTATGAGCATCTTCAGTTTAAAAAAACACAGTTTAAATTCCATTTCTCGTCGTTTTTCAGTCGTTTCAGGGCATGTTGTTCGTCTTTAGCCAAGTTGCTGTCATGAAGTGACGCTGATTGTATAGCAGAAGGAATTCTACTTCTGATGTTATCCTTAGCCAGCTTAGATAGTTCTCGTTGCCGAGACAGTGTCGCCTCAACACAATAGCCTCGGTCGGTATCCCGGTTTCGGTGTAACTGAGTGTTTTAGTCCATATGACAGTACACGAGTTTCACTCATGTCTAAGGGACAAGAAGAGATGTTCCACACCCAGCTTTCGTCCGGTTTACCTCGTCTCTGTTCTTTGTTGCGTAGCAGTCGTGTCAGTCTCTGTTGATGTCCAGTACGGGCACATTCATTCGTTTTGTTGGCTCGTTTGTCGGCAATGGTCATAACAGAGTCAAGTAAGTCAGAAGCTATCGGTTGTTTCAGTCTGTCGTGTGGTTGCTGTAATTTGTTTTTGTAGCGTTTGAGTCTTCTGTGGTAATCATTTATCCCCGCTTTGACCAATCGTCTTTAGGTATTCAACGGGGAACACACAGGCCGGCTGGAACAGTTTACGGGAAACTGACACATACCGACAGAACACTGGACGAGTCATCCCACATCCCGATATCACACAAAGCCACAACTATCAGGACTCTAACGCGACGAGCGCAACTAGTATGCAACACGACAGACAGCTTATCCGACGAAAAAAAGTACCTTGACCGTGTTTTTTCAAAGAACAACCATAACGAAGGCCTCAGATAACGATAAGCCCACAATGCATGGGGTAAGGGGATCGTAGAGATCTACTTTGAAAAAACGGCACACTAACTCTAAAAGAGAAAAATTCCTCTAGCAGAATCCCCTTGATGCGATGACATCTTGGAAGAATTAAAAAATTTCTTATACTTTTGTTGCTAACGCAATACAAGAAACCTTCTGGCGAAAATTTTTCTTAACACCCAAAGCAAAACATGATTAATATATAGTTAAGGCATTTTCCGTTACCCTCAACAGAAACCAAACTACATCAACAAAGGTCTCTAGCTAACAGGTTCACCAATTATTAATTGACACGTTATCATGAACCGGCATTGAGACACTTTCTATGATCCTACTCACCAGAACCATCAGGTTTATCAGCTTGCTCCGGCAGCCTGGACTGTTCGTTCCTCAGATCTGCTTCTTGTGGTTGAACTTCATTCCTAGACGATGGTGTTTCAGCGGAGTTTGTTGCTACTTCAGGATCGTCAAACAGCTCCACTATCTCTACTGCATCAGATCTAAAGCACAATTCACCGCATGGAAAGTTATCATCAATCAGGTATATTCCAGTTAACAGGATGAAATATCAGCAGAATGTCCCCGACTACCATCCCAGAGATGTTATAACTGAGAATTCAGTAGGAAAGAGGAATAGACGATGACTTAACTTGACGGAGAGAAATCAATGAAAAAAGGTATGAAAGGGGCCGAGACCCTGCAACCAAGGACAGGTAGCATTGGTAGACGAGCTGATACCGTGTTAAAATTAACAAAACGAGGACAGTGAAAGAAAATCAGAATTTAAAAGAAAAAAAGACTCTGAAAATCATATTTTATTTCCCGTAAGGTAATATTAAAAGTTCCCCCACAACTCACTTATTTTGTCATAATAATTATTATCGAGGGCTGACTAATGCATTTAAGAAACCACATGATTATTTTCTAAGCTCTTGTCTATTGTCACACCAATTTAAACCTTCTTTAGTGGCGCCTCAGTGAGAATCTGGCTGCGTTATTACCTTTTTAGCAATATTGAAATGTTCGGTTGAGTTAAGAACATTTCTCTTCTCGCGCGATGCAGAGGCGAAGATGACGTTAAAATCAATAAAGTATTTATCATTTTTAGAATCAATTTACCCTCCGCATTTTTGTCATTTGTTTGTATTCGTGTTTTTTAATGTTGGTTTCAATTTTTTTGCTTTGTTTTTGTAGTTTAATATCTCAGGGCAGGAGCCCTTACAGGAGCTCCTGCTTAGGGTTTTATGCAACTTAGTTATTGCTGTAGCTTTTGTTGTTGGAATTAAAATGTACTTATCCTTAACCTTATCAAACTCTCAATATCTGATTGTTAATTCTCCTCCCTTGCAGTTCGCATATTTACTTGAAAAGTTACAAGAATGTGGTCCTAGATCAAGATAACTTCCAGCTGATGAGTTCGAGTATTCTCATCACCAGTTTGTTCGGTAATGTGTAGACATTATAGGGAGAAGCAATATGTTGATAACTTACGGGAGTTAAGAGCTTTAAGACAGCTATTATAACTTTTGTTAAAGATATAAAAACAGTGACACCGGTATTTTATATTTACATAGTCAAATAAATTAATTTTTGAGTCACTCAAGAGGACGTGATGAAGAGAACGATGATCGAAACGCAACATGACATAGAGAACCCATTATGTCAAACATATCATTGGAATCACCTGCACCAAACAAGGACAACAAGGAAAAACTGAAACTGGGATTTCTTCCAGAACAATTAGCTTGAAGAGATTACATTATCTCTACAACGTTTTTCTTATTATTGATTCACAGTCTATTTTTTGCGGAGGCCAGTGAGCCGCACAAAGGAATTCTTTTTGCTGTTGTAACTTTTTGTATGTTTCTTCCGACGCGTTTCGGCTTTAGCAGAGACTTCTTCCGGGAATGATTGCAACTAACATAGGGCATAATATAGCACTTAGTAGTGAATAATAACTGAGACAAGCACTTAACGGACGTTGCAAGAAACATATGTTATTACGTGTTGTTTTTATTTGGGAGCAAAGCATACTTGGAGATCAATGAATAAAAGGGGTTAGTTTCTAAAGAAACTGTGTTGCTGCGTTAGTGGGAGAATTTAACAAGGTAATTATTACTGGTTCGGAAAAGAAATGGTAATCCCATGGTACGTTTGCTATGTTGTACAATTTCATTGGCTTGAACGTGATCCCTTGGGATGTTCAACTTATATGGCGTGATGTCATTGGTTCAACTGGAAATGACGTATACGCTTCGCCATTGCATGTGTTTTCGACCCTATATTCTTCGCAGTCGATGTCCCTGCGCTGTTTTGTGGGAGTGTCTTTCTAGGTGAGTAAAATCAATATGAATGTTTCAAAGTTTGAATGTTTAAGTTATCACAACTTTCGAAGTTTTTACATGGCAGACGGAGGAAAAAGTTTTGATACTTGCTTTCGAAGTTCCAAACAAAAAGCAGGGTCAACACCTCCGTTGCGAGCCTATTTCAAACAACAGTCGTCACCGCGTTCAAGTTACGGGGCGCTTCGGAAAACAAATCTTTTCCAGGCTTTCTTACCGCAGGAAGTATCGCATCGATTTATGTTCACAAATAAAACCCATTGCCTATTGTGGGCTGTTTTGCTTTGGGATACATTTCAGCCTAAACAATTTGATACGCAAAGCCCATTGTGGCGGCGATTAAATCGATCTGTCGGTGGTTACATCATCACTGAGCCCTGACGGTGGGGTCGATTTATAATCTTGTTTTACGGCATACTTTCTCCTTACAACTTATTAATGTTTTTTTGTTTGTTTGTTTGCGTGCCTCCCCTTGGCTTGCTAGGGGTTATTTTAGTTTTCTTTTCATTATTGAGAAAGTGTGTATAATTTTTGGTGTGAGCGTGTTTAATTTTTGCGAGGTGGGGTTCGATTCCCCAACAAATTTGGTGTCTGGTGACCCTCATGTTTTATGGTGAACCCAGCCCTAAGGCCTTGCACTTTCAGCCATGGGTTGGATTAGTCGTTTAGTTCGGCAGGCATTGCACCGCCCTCACGAGAGCCTGGCCGTTCGCCTTAAACACAACAACTACCTTCTGTTCTTCATGCATCTTCAAAAGCTGTGGTAAGCAGTAAAAGTATGTGTGACTGCAGATTAACTGTAAAAAGGAATTATTAAACAACCAAACTGTAAACGACACTGAAATCGCGAACCTTCAAGGATACAAGTTAAGAAAATTAAGTAAAAGCTGCGGAAAAAAAAGGTTCGTAAACACTTAAAGGTCTTGCTCAAGAAAAGTGTTCCAAAATCGTCAACGATTCACTAACTGGTCACTAATTACAAAGCGACCCTTGTTCGATTTTTGCAGTGATCAAATAGCTTTTTCAATAGCTCAAAACATCGATTTACTAAAAGCAGTGCTGTTTACAACTTCTGTCCAAACGAAATAAAGTCGTTTCACCGGATATCTCCTGTAACGAAACATGGATCATTTACAAAAAATCGTAGCTCAGAAATAGAGAGATGGAAAGTGAGAGCAAAACCCAGTAGGACAACTGTGACCTGTCACGTTGGTTCAACAAAAATTGTACATGGAAGCCTGATGTACCGAATGATACAATTCAAGTTCAACCTGTAGTACCGCCCGTGTGTATATTAAGTTCGCAGACGAATTTCATACGCTCAGACGCAGGGTAGTCAGACGCACATATACGATTTTGCTGCGCGTGCGATCGAAGACAATGCACCACTCGTGTGCTTTTGTTATTCAGTGCTATAAGCTTCCTTTGCATTACATTGTTGTGTAAAACAAAGAACTTTTATAGTATATTAAAGTTCACACAGCAACCAGTTGGACAATCAGACATGGTTTGATGCTACTCTGGTTAACAGTTTTAATGAATGTAACTGAAGAAGTTAATGTTCATAGACCCAACGTTTCGACACTCCTGTCTAGTGCCTTCATTAGGGGTGGTCTAAACGCTGCAACAAGAGGTCTTTTTATATGATCACTAATTAGCTACCTTTATTCTGACGAGGTGTAAATAGGCGTCAGGAAGCAAGCCGCCATCGTCACGATTCAAAGGAGTGTGGGCGGAGTTAACCAAACCTAAGGATCCTGTCACGAAAGAACAACGAACCGACGCTATTTATTCTATTCGTTGCAATGACTGTGACAACGAATACATCGGACAGACCAAACGTCAGTTTGGTACACGTTTGAAAGAGCGTCAAAAAGCGGTTTCTTTAGCAAAAAGGAAAATTTAGCTTTATCGGAGCACACGTGCCTAACCAACCATACAATTGGGCGGGATAATTCTAAAATTATCACCACTAATCAGCTTCCGAGCGAGCAGTAGCAGTAGATTTGCTTGATTTGAGTTATTGATGAATCACCGGGAAGGAAAATGTCTCCAACACAAGGCATCGAAACACGTGTATTATTATGTGAGTAACGCAGCGAAACTCACTAACATGCTTTCCAATTTGTTCATTGTAAACAGCGCTACCTTTTATGTTAACGCAGCGGAATGTAAACAAATTGGTGTTTGCATTACAGGTGATGATTTCTTCGAAACTTTGAATTTACCTCGATCACCTTCAATGAGGATCAGAAGGAAAATAAACTATTTCAGATTGTGAATGATGTGCTATTTTATTTATTACAATCGCGCTCGCTTCAGTGTTTGCGCACCGGAATGTAGATAATTTCATTTAGCATCGCACGTGATGATTCGTTTGATTGCGGTGCGCATCACATTACAACGATAAAAGGTCAAGTTCTAGGAAATCGTAATGTGCAAAGAAATGATATGCTCAAATTTTGTTCTACTATGGAGATCAGACACTTAATTTGACTTCATTTGTAGGTTGCACTAGGCAACTTATTCATCAACTTCCACAAGCTGTTGATATTGAAACTATGACAGAAACTTCCCTGACAGAAATATTACTCTCTTTACCTTCAACTGTGGAGGTGATGTTTCACAACAGGAGAAAAGTTGTTCAAACTATTATTGTAAACTAAATGTACAATAGCAATATTGAACCTTCAACATCCCCCTTCCCCCATCTACAACCCCTGAGTAATGTGGATTTGTCGTTTTTGGGTGATCAAATTCCCAACGTATATTGATAAGTGCCACACTACAGGTCTATTTTATATGATCAATGTGCCCACCAATCTCAATTACGGGACCATACTACTGCTTAAGACGATTATTTTGGCTGGACTTGTTGAGGTCCCCCTTCCTCATCTACTGAAAGACAAAGGCACAACTCTTTCCATCAAAATCTTCCAACTTACAGTAATCTGCTGATTCTGTCGTACTGAAATTGATGTTCCATGCAAGCCGTACAACAGTCTACATGTAACCCTGTAGTGATCCATACTCGTGGTCGAAACTCGGAACATTGGTTTTTAAACTCTTGTTTTTTAGGAAAATTTACATGTTCGTGTCAATTGTATTTCCAGTTGCCCAGTTATCTCCGTAGAACAGTTTTAGGTTTTCAATTTCTCGTCCTGAATAGAACGTTTCCTCGAAGATTGAGATTTTTCACTCGATCTTTATGCACCGATCAACTCGAAACTTCAGGGTTGTTGAAAGTTCGAAGCGCACTAGAGACCTCTGGTGGAGTTTGTTTTGATACTTAAACACTTGGCCTGCGTGATCCTCCTTTGGGATGTGTACAGCACAAACCCTCCGAACGAGGTTCCAATTTATTTCCAGGAACATGCAGAAGGTTGTTGTTGACTATGAGCAATTACCACATCAATTGAGAAAACTTTTTCTTCCCTTGCGTTTCACATAGCAAGCATTGCACGTCACTCCTCGCGCAAACATGAATGAAAGCTCGCCTTGAAGGATGCAAAGAAAATTCATGACTGTGCTAATCATTTCTAGCTTAACTTGATACACTATTCTTCCCAAATACCAATTCTCAGGATACCTAGAGGCTTATTCGAACAAATACAAAATTTGCAATTTAAAAATGGAAAAAGTCAGTAACCCCATGTATAAGTAGCACGCCTACACGCTTGAATTGTTAACAGGGACCTTAAGCAGTCAGGACGGCAACGCCAAGGAAGACTTCAATTAAAAAATGAATTTCTGCCTTTCATTAGAATTTTAAAAATGGCTGCATGCGTTTACCGTCTCACACTGCGCCACGCCTGAACTTCAGCATAACGTATAGAAGAAGCATTAGGTTCCAAACGGAAATTAAAATAATTTGCCGCTGTGGTTTCGGTTCGCAGACCACGCAAATTGTAGTGATTTCACGTTGTTGTTTTGCATAGGAGGGCTAAGAAATGTACAAAGTTTTAAAACGCACGTGCTCAGCTACTGTTCTGCCAATTACATCTTTTGTTTTTCCATGTCCTCGTTACCGTCGCCGTCGTGGTTTGCTTAAGGTCCCTGTTGTCTACTCGACGGACACGGACAGAAAATCGCCTAGCGTTGTGTTAGGAATTCTGAAAGTTGTCAGATTCAAAACAAAACATTCTGTTGCGTAATGCTTCAAGACCAAAGAAAGTTGCGAAGCGCACTAAAGTTCGCAAATTCAGCGTTCATTTTGCAGCCATAATTTGTATCTGGTTCCGGAATCATAGTATTGCTCACTCGAAGGCTCTTTGTGTCGGAATGTTTCAAGGAAAGTTTTCACAATCAATACTTACCTCTCAAAGTTGCCAGCCATTATCCTCCTACGCAGGCTGCCAAGTAGTCTTAACGGGACTGTGGGCTAAAATGAAGTTCTACTAAGCTGCAGTTGTAACAAGAATCGATTGGCTTAAAGTCTTCAACCCGCCCGCTCCCTGATCTCGTTCGTGGCAACAAATTTGAAACTAACGCACACGCGAAGCACGCAGCAAAATCTCGTCGGTGATTGGCCAATTTAAAGCAAGCCTCACTCTTCACGCCCTTGTAATATCATCCTTTCACCCCCGGTTCAACGTATTCTACGACAATATCGATGATTGAAAACATAAAGGAGGCAAAAAAACTTCAGTAGTTCAGCCAAAAGAGCGAAATAAGACCAGTTGCTATAAGAAATGCTTTTTCCATGATAAACTGCAGATGGATTTTGACGGGTCATTGACTTCTGTAAAGTGGCTCGCCTGATTTACATATAATTGAAAACAGTGTTCGTTGATATGGCGATTAAGAGTATCGTTTTGCGAAATAAATTTTTGTTTTGGAGTTTTACAGCTTTCCGAACTTCTTAGATGTAGGGAAAGGCCGACGACTGCCATATTCAGCGTAGAATGATTTGAGAGATTTAAGTGTCTAGCGACTGGTTTGGATGCGTCCTTAAATTAGCATTCCATTCTCCGTTACAAAGGTTTTCTCGGAATCGGTTGCCAAGTCGTCTTCCTGTTTGCGGTTCGCCAATGAATACCCCTTTGAAGTAAATCAAGTTATGCATATGCGAAGGATCACATTGGCGGAGGTACACGTGAAATGATCAGTGATCTGATGGATCGCTCTAGTCTCGATATTTTCTGCGGACGTTATGAATAAAGGCCAGTTTTGCATCGTGCGCGCAGGCATTTGAAGTTCTGTGTTGATCATTGGTTTGTATATGTTGAACTTCTGATCAAAAAATTGCCCATGCCTTTGTCACGTTTGAATGATATTGATGAAAGTGGCGAAAAAAGGTACCAGTTTCGAGATCATTTTGAAGTAATTTAAAGTTTACAGTTAGGAATGATGGATTCAACTGATTGATTGTGAGGCTGAAATGTTTAGGTAAATGGGATTCGATCGGTATTTTTCTTCTCTGACGTTTGTGATGCTGTCTGTCAATTTATTTAATGCAGTGGTGGCCCGCTCAAGTGACAGAAACAGGATAGCCACGTTTTTCGAAAAACTGGTACATTGCCTTTGATTTGAGGCAAAAATTAGGGTCGTCACTACTTAAAAAGGCGAAATTTTAGAAACTGAGAAAAAGGAATGGAATTCTTGACAAGTGATGGACGCGACGATGACTATAACAAGAAACTATGATAATCTGTAGGTTTGTGGTGGTACACACAAGTGCACAGACCGTTGCCTTTGAGAGAAGCTTTGAGGTGGGCAACTTTTTGGTCAGAAGTTCAATACAAACTTATGATCAACAAGGAACTTTTTCCCCCATTTATTACTGAAAGCATTCCATCAACCCTGGTGTCCCGATTTAACGCACCATATTAGCGGTACACTTATCATTTAATTAATCCACTATTTAGCGGCCGACACAAGCGAAGCAAATTTTCGACAATAACTATGGGTTTCGCAGATGAAGACACGTTATGAAGCAAGGCTTGAATCGTCTTATTTAACGTTGTCGAAGTATTCAAGTTTTTATCGTAACCTGAATTATGAAAATTATAAGGGAGAAGCTAAGCTAAATTCTAAAAGGGATAAAAGAGAGCCGCTTGAAAACAAACTCTAACAAAAACTAATAGCCAAGTGGGAAGAACGCACAGCGTTCTAACAAAGCGTGAACAACGTAAGCCGCTTACATAACAGTCCCGCCTGTAAGAGTTTAACCAAAACGAACTTAAAGAGAAGGTGGGCAAAAAAGCGCTCTTCCGAAACACACTTCTGACTAAAATGTGGTTCTGGCTGGAACTTAAAAGATCACGTCCCTAATGGACAAACAGTAACGTCATTATTACGGTTTGACACGAATGAAAGTTATAGCGGGTCAATGTCCGGTGGCAAAGGCGTGGCAGCCGTTACACACCGTGTAACACGTTATTCCATTTCTCATATCTTGTTTATTCTCAACTTGAATAGCTAGTGGATTTAATTTCTTTTTAAAAGCGCTAAAAAATACTCCTCTCTTGACAGTTCAAGAGGAAGTTATATTCAGAGACGCTCGACCCTTATGATATGTCCGGCTTCCGCCAACTCGCTTACAGACAACAGTCCCGGATCGAAAACAATTCTTTTTTTGTGGCTGCTGCCTCCTATAGGAGGTGAAGCCTCATATGTCGTCGAAATGAGTCAGCGAGTGAGCGAGGACCAGAAACCCGGGTTTAACTTTCAAACTCTGCCAAAACGTAACATTCTTGTTCATTTTCTGGCCTTTGTTTTGGCCAGAGAATCATTGGATCCCGATGAAAGTTATTACAGGTCAGTTTTCTTAATTAAAAAAAAGTTTCACTAACCTGCTTATCACAGTTTGACTATCGCTTCTGACATCTCGTTATAGAGACGAAAGTCTCAGTCCACTGTGTGATGTAATAGCTACTGCAATTTAATGTAGGTTTTTCCATGTATTTAGGAATACCATTTCAAAATCAAATTAAAAAAATCAAGAGCCAGACGTAACGTTTATTGTTTGCTTCTCCTGTATCCATGCTTGCTTTCCCTTTTTGACGTAAGTAACTAGTTGTAGCTAGTCGAGAGCGAATAAAAAAAGCTGACTCCAAAGGATGATTTAAATCACTGAAAAATCTGTCGTTGAACCGTTTGCATTTTGAACGTTCAGTTTAAGTGCTAGTGAAGCATGATTGAACATTCTTGTTCAGCTGATTATCAGATTTGTTCGATAGGTAGAAATCTTCTTTAAACCTCTGCGGAAGGTTTTAAGGTTAGAGGAAGTCTTCCAGGCACCAAGATGACCACACTGAACTCTTCCAACTCCAAATTTTGGTTAGAGCCTCTTCTTCTGCCGAGTCAAGATAACTTCTTGATTTTCTGCAATTTCATATGTTTTCAAATCACATTCGCCTCGGCAATCTGAAAGCATCTTGCAGAATGTTTCTTCAGAGAGTTCAAAACGCCCGTTTAATAATCGGGTGTAAATTGGGGCTGACAAACCTACACGACTTCGTCAAGTTTTCTTTATATTTGTTTTAAATATTAAAAGGCTCGCACGACTCCAAAGAATGTCGATTTTCTTGCCTTCGTTCTAATTTTGCTCTCACGAGTATGTCTTTGAGTGGACGCCCCTTTCTGTATGATACTATGAGCAGTTCTTTGAAGATTTCCCTTCGCAGTGGTTTTTGCTGTCTAATGCCAGTTGCTCATAAAGATTTCTTCAGGGTTTTGAAATTCTGGATGGTGTTGTGTGTATATTGTGACCTGAATCGCTTTCTTTGCTGGAGATTTTCGACAGCTACAGCCTACTAGACACTGAAGTATAAGTGTACATATGTCATGCTATCTCATAACCTATGAAGTAATCGAATTGAAGGGATTTCCAATTCACCGGAAGTAATGCTGCTTTGCCAGCCCGAGTACAAATTTACGTTTTCTTGCTTCCGAAATTTTCTTTTAAGCATTAGTGGATGTTAAATGGAAATTTCTAGGCTTTGCTAGATAAGTGTTTTTGACTGAATAATACCCAGTGATAAATCACAAATTATCGTCTTCTTTATTTCTGCTCCCGCTTCCCGCTCCTGTTCTCCCGCTTCCTGCCCTATTCCGCCCCCTGTTCTCTCGGGCTCCCGCCCCCCGTCGCCCTCCACAATCTTGCATCTCACAATCATTTCAGGATTGCGCGTGATTAAAAACAAAGTTGCTAACATATGATTTCAAGGAAATTAAAACCAGATGGAGTCTGCGTGTTTTCCAAGTATTGGGAGATAAGAACTATGAAAGGACCCAACATCATTCAGGAATAAACCCTGTACACTGTATTTCTTTTCATGCAGTGAGCTGTTTCAAAACACCGTCTTTCTATTGTAGATATATCTGCAAGGAAAGTTTTGATTTAAATTAAATGAAATTCGTAATCCTTGTACACTAAGTCGCTAACCTATCACTCAGGCCTCTCTACCCCAACATGGACATGGCCCGGGAAAAG